GGATAGGACTGGGGGGGTCCAAAAATCGTTCACTAGGACAGACCCGAAGACTTTGCATATCTGATGAAAGAAAGCAAATATTAGTTCCGAGTTTCAAAAAATGTTGTATAATATTATTAATATCCAATAATTCATAAACTCAATATAATATTATAACACTTATTAAAGGAAAAGGTCAATTATTTTCAATATCCCATCAAATTGAAAGCGGGTCATTGTATGCTAAATATTTTTAATTAATTTTTATTTTTTATCATGGTAAATTGATCATATTAAAAACAGCTTTGGTAGATACTTAATTTAGAAAGCTTTATATCATTTTTAGGGGGGAAACATCCAGAGAACGGAGTTGAATCGCAAAGTAAAAATTTATTTTACGACAATCTTCCATTTCATGGTCTTAAAAATCCTCCAAAACAGGTTAGTGAATCTACATATGGCCCAAATAGATATTTACAAAATTAATACACGAATAAATAGTTACTAAAATAAAATGTGTTGATACCAAAAGTAATATATATATAGATATGCAGGCAGGTAGAAACCTCCTTCCTAAATTGCATACTTATTTGGGTAATTTCATGGCAAATTTGAATTATTTAAAAAAATTAAACTAAGGCTATCAAAGGGATAATGGACTGGGGCTGGCTCATTTCTTTTTTATATACCAATCAAATTGAAGTTTTGAGCGCACCAAACAGCTAGGATGATCATTTTAGGAAAGTAATGGAGTTTTTTTGAGTTTTTGGGGTAAGTTGTGAGCCATGAAGAGCCAGGAGCAACCGATCATAGTAGTGTTGAATGGGATGTATTGTTCGACCGGATCCTGTCCGCTATTAGGACTTTGTTCTAGATTCGATGTACTTTTTAGTCATAATTTTTATTTAAATTGCGTTAATTTACGTATGCCATTCAGTACAACTTGCACATTTAAACTTTGTCTAGTCAAATTCCTACCTCAGTTTTATTTGCATTGATTAATTTGTTTCATTAAGTACAATATGCAGTATACATTGTTGATACTATAGTACGCATTTGGTGTTATCACGCATAAACAAAGTGATAAATTAGCAACAATCCAGAGGATAAAATGCCATGCGTACGACAGAGATGGTGCTGTTTGCACCTTTTCTCAAGACCTCAAAATTTATACCTGCCTGCATATCTATATATATATTATCTTTGGTTGATACAAGATAAAAAAAACATCCCCGTATAAATACAATAACTGTATATACAAGTGTACGCGTATCGTGATTCGTGAGGTTTGGTATGCTGTGTCAGAGATAAGAGAGTACAGACATTTTACACAATAGAACTCGAGGATTTAATGCAAGGAAAGTTATTTCAGAGGTGCACGCATCTTTTGTACTGCAGTGTACTTTCACTGAGCGTTAATGTAAACAAAAGACGGATGTCGAAGCCTGACATGGGATCCATCTTTCACATAAATAATCAATGAAATATTCTTGTCAAAGGAAACTATTATGTGAATTATCAAAATTATCAAAAGGGGATGGTGGAGTTGGTAACCGCAAAAAAGTCCTTGGAAAAAAAGTTTCCTGAAAAAAATCCTTTTATTAAAAAGTCTCTGGAAATAAAGTCCTACCAATTCGAGACTTTATTTTCTAGGACTTTTTTCTGGATCCATGTATGATTTTATACAAAAAAGTCCTCGAAAAAAAAGTCCTCTAACAAGTGAAAATGCATGATTCACAATTCTAGGTTTTTCTTTTCCTCGGATTTATTCCAATTTTTTGGCTGCACGCCTAATTAGTGTTCGAAATTCCTAAAATAAAATCAAATTGAATTTTAATGACCTCTAATGATCTCTAATGACCTCCAAAAATGAAAATGTTTTAACTATGGCTTTATGCATATCAAACGGAAGCTAGGAACCCCAGGAATACAGTTGCAGCAACGAATCCAGTGTTTGACGTTCTACTGACCCCTAACGACCTCTAATGACCTAAATGACCTCCAAAAATGAAAATGCTTTAACTATGGCTTTATGCATATTAAACGAAAGCTAGGAACCCAGGGAATACAGTAGTAGCAACAAATACAGTGTTTGACCTTCTAATGACCTCGAATGACCTAAATGACCTCCAAAAATGAAAATGTTTTAACTATGACTTTATGCATATCTATTAAAATCTAGGAACCCCAGGAATACAGTAGCAGCAACGAATCCAGCGTTTGACCTTCTAATGATTTCTAATAACCTCTAATGACCTCTAATGACCTCCACAAATAGAATATATATAACTATGTCTTTATGCATATCAAACGAAAGCTAGGAACCCAGGGAATACAGTAGCAGCAACAAATCCAGTGTTTGACCTATGTCTAGTCCGTGGCTATGTACATCTGAGAGGATGAAGTGAAGCTCTAATTTTTCTGCATCCTTTTCCTATGTTAGAGATGTTCAATATGTTGTTTAAAGTATACTAGCCAGCTGTAATAAATTGTCTGGCAAACGAATCAAACTGTACATGACATTTGATCTGAAAGAAACTCTACAGTGACTCAAAAATTGTTTAGATAAAAAACTAAATTAAAGGAACGTTGTAAAAGTAATTTTAAGAGACCTTGAAAGTAAAGAGAGACATGCTCGATTCAAAACGGTACTCTTTTAACATTTATTTGATATCTATAATTCATGTATATCATAGTTCTATACTTTCTTCACATTTTTGATGAATGGTGTACAGTTTAAATGATAAATAATAAGTTGTAATAAACACCTATATGCAAGATTTTACATATTATCTATTCATCATGCGAACATTCCATCTAAAGTATTTGGTAAATCTAGGAAAATAACTTTTTACAACGAAGAATCATTTTAAAGCTTTGATTTGTATCTGAAAGCTAAGAGGAGTATTTAACCTATCCCCCGTTTAAATTTTTGAATTTTTTTTCTTTTAAGCTTAAATATCAATAAAAGTTTTTTTGAGCAGTCTTTGGCAGTGCTAGAACAGTCATTTGCTGGACTTGAAAATGATTCCGCGGGTTTTGTGCAGCTACCTGGGTGTGAAATCAAGTTTTCATAATAATCAATTACATTACACATTGCAATCAATCTAAATAAATTACTCATGAACGATTTCAAATTTAGGTGTTGAGCGATTTAGATGATAGCCTGACCTATGCTGATGTGGACCATCATGAAATATACTCTAATGGGCCTCTTGCATACAAAGTTGCATCCCTTCAACGTAAAATAGCGGAAAAGCACACAGAATCAAAACTCTGAGGGTTTCAAAATTTAAAAATTTGTAATTAGTTTTTATTTTTTAGTTTCGTCATGTAAAAACTTATTAGAATAAATACTTTAATATTAACTTATTGTTATTTTCCATGTAGAAATATTTATTCAGTAAAAGACCTATTGATATTTTCGTCTTGTTCACAGTTTAACAATTAGTTTAAATCACAGACACACAGTATGGCTCAATTGATTCAGCGTTTAAAACTTTTATCCTGAATTTGATGGAATTTGAAATTTTCTATATTTTCAATACTTTATCTATGGCAGTACTTTATAGAAATTTTAACAGAATAGACGAAGAATATAATATATACACGCTATTGTTTACAAATCAAGATAAGAGCCATGCACAGAGGCCGTTCCTTCCATAAACTACACTGGTCGACAACTTGACGTGTACTATATTGGTCGTGAAATGTACGGAGAAATATCTAACTATCAGTTAAGGATTCAGCATGAGACATCTAGCGGCCAACATATCGTCCCCCAAAGTACGTGAAATACACGACCACTTTCTATGGAGAGAATGGGCTCTGAACAGGTAGGATAGATCAAGGTACTAATGCAAGAAAAGTTTTTTCAGAGGTGTACTCATTTTTTGTACTGCAGTGTACTGTCTTTGGGCGGAAAGGTAAATACAAGACGGATGTCATATTTTCTTAAATTTCATACCAAGTAATGTTTCTTAGTTTAAAGTTTTTATTTTGCCTATTTTTACGTAATTTTTCGGTTTTTACATTACTTAAAAAATTGTATTTTCAGAGTTTAAAAGTTTAATGAAAACATAAAAATATGCATACTTTTTTAGAATTCAAGCAAAATACTTTTTAAAAATTTACAGGTTTTTATTTTACATATTTTTACGTATTTTTTCGATTTTTTCTTTACTTAAAAAGTGTATTTTTTAGAGTCTAAAAGTTTTCACGAAACCTCAACTGCACTAAAATGCGTTTTTAAGTTAGAATTTAAAAATATTTTATGATTTTTCAAGGAAACTGGATTGTAAGAAATTAAATGCAACTATTATGGAAAATACAATGTGCATCCAGTGCATGCATAATAGTAGTCATTACCTTCTGCACATTTTGGTTTTAAAACTTGAAATTGCCCTAGAAATAAGTATTTTTGAAACTAAAAATTTAATTTTGAAAACATTAAAACGATTTTTTCCCCCAACATTTTAAATTTAATTTACTTCCACTCAGCTCTCTAAGTTTGTTGTGCATAATATTGGTTCTTAATATTGAATTAAATGTAATATGTAGGTTTTCCAACGTAATAGAAAATTCACGTGCAGTTACGCGAAATAATTTTCATTTTGTGAAATTTTGCAGGATTTCGCGTATTTGGCGAAACTGCTATTTCGCGAAATAGTGCCGTAATTTCGCGTAATTTCTACAAAAGCAATTTCGCGAAATGTTGCAATAATTACGCCTAATTAGCGAAACCTCCATACAAACCAACCTACAGGAGAACATTTTAAATTTCCTGGACATGAACTCTACCATCTAAAAGTTAGCGTACTAGATCGAAGGTTTGGGACACGGCCCGCTCATAAGTATGCTTCTATCTATACTATTCTGGGCTAGTGTACATGTAACTTTGTCGGTGGGCGACGCAGCTGTTATATCTCATGTAGATCCAAGATATTTTTAGGAAATTTCTAAAACCTCTGCATAGTAAATTTTAGGTTTTACTATAACAAATTTTTATTCTGGCTATTGTTCATTCTATAAAAATAATTTGGGCTTTTAAAAAGGTTTGAAGTGAAGTTCAGGGTCCAAATTAGAGAAGAACTTTGGTAGATAGTGGGCCCTGGAGTAAGCAGAAATGAGATACTGTTGCTAAAATCTTGTAATCATAGCATTTTCTTCAAAGAGTATAAAAATGTGGTCTGCCGATTTTGTACCTTAAGAATTAACCAAGATATTGATAAATTTGTTTAAAATTCAAAATATTAAATATCAGCAAGGTTGTTTAAATCTTTAGTATCTCCAACAATTTTTATAATACAAAGAAGGAGGCGAAATCTTATCAAGCTTTAAATACTTACAATGTTTTTCTATACTCCTTTGACATCTATCAACTTTACGAAAACCAAAGACAAATTGTAAGTTCCAGGGTCCTATGTCTAACGTACTGCATAACACCAGGGGCGTACGAGGGCTTTTGTTTAGGGGGGGGGCACAATTTTTTTGGTCCCCCCCCTTAAAAAACCCTTTTTTGAAAAAATATTAATACCTTTTTTAAATTTTTTTTGCCCCCCCTCTCCCACCTGGACTTATTTTGTTCACCATAAAAATACACCAAAAAGACTACTTTTTTGGGTGTTACTAACCTTAAAGTTTAAAAATTATTCCTTTGCTTGAAAAACTAACTTTTTGACTTTATAAATTTATCACTTAACTCCATCACAGCTAACTAAATCAATAATCACAGCATCATTAAAAATTAATTAAATCGACCCCCACCCCCACTTTAAACACTATACATATAAATTAGTTTGTTTTTAATCTTTATTCGACAGAAACAATCTCAAGGAATAATAATTTTCTTAAATCAAATGTGGAATTAACATCTACTTTTTTCTCTACAGAGATTTGGTCCATCACCGAATTTTAATTTAATTTGAAAGTATTTAAATTATCCAATCAGAGCTGAAAACTTTAGAATGAAATATCCAATTGGAAGATAACGTTGCTTCTCTGGAGTTTAAATTCATGTGGAGAACAAGCAATATTTAAACTGGATATTAAGAAAAAGAGTGGTTTAAGCCTTAATCCTGATATCCACCATTCTAAAGTTTTCAGCTCAGATTGGACATGGTTGTATCGCACATATCCTTACACATATTTTCCCGATATATTCATTTCTGAGAATTAATATGAACTTTACTAATTACAGAATGGTTTCGTAATTAGCCTTAATTAGGCAAAATTAGACTTTCTTTCGTTTTCTAAATTAGCACGTAATTTCGCATAATGCTCCTCTGCAAGTGAAAAAAAGTGTTACGCGTAATTACAACTGGAAACCCTTGTAATATGATGATTAGTTTAATATTATTAGAGAAAAAAGTGTGTAATTTTTAGCTGATACATATGAAATATGTGCTTTAAATTTAAAAGCTAAACATATTCACAAATTCTTTTACAAAATATATCTTAACAGATGCCTATATCTGGGCTTTGATTTGCAGCATGTACTTTTCTATGCTTATCATGCCATGCCTGAAAAAAATAATAATTACAAATTTATTAAAATTCTAAAAAATAAACAAAAATGAGTTTACCGTATATCCAAAGTTCTTGCATAATTTACAGCAGAGTTGATTTCTCCTTTGTCCAACCCCAAATTGTAAACTGTACTGTATGCGAAGCTTAAATTTTCCAATTCTTCTGGGGGTAAGTATCCTATTAAAATACATACAACCTTTATTAAAAAATTGAAAACTTTAATTCATGCTGAATACAAAAAAAGTAAACTTAGCAGTTGTTGGATTTATCTGGTTTAGGAATAAAATCTTATTGTTTGCGACCTTAATAGTAAAGTTCCATTTTTTAAGTGTTTTTGAAGTCTTTTTAGCTCCAGCCGGATTTGTATAAGACTAGCTCTTGTCCTGCTATTTTCAAAATGTGGTTTGCCATTTTTGTGCTCTCATAATTACCGAAGATATGAATGATTTAGTTCATTTATTTTTTATAGGAAATAGTGGCAGACCACAGTTTGCAAATGGAAGGATTAGGGCTATTTTGAGATTATTTAAAAAAAAATATTACTAATAGGTTACCTATAATGAATGCCACAACCTATTTCTAAGGTTAAAGACGATTTTGTAGTTATCAATTATCTTTAATTATTCTGGGTTATTTAGAATAAGACTGTATTTAATCGATTAATAAAAGTTTTAAAAGTTTATTTACATATTATCTATATAATAAAACAAGACATCCATATATTTGTTCCCTCTGGCCAGACAAACAGCTAGACCGAATGGGCTGACATTTTTGTGGACACTCATGGATAAGCTTAAAAAATTTGATTTTTCCACGAGCAACGCCGGGCCCTTCAGCTTGTAATTCTATAAATATATTATCCCCAAGAAAATATTTATGGTAAAATATCTTGTCATTTTTGTTAAATATCTGCTTTATATCAGCATTTAGCAAAATTTCCCTAGATTATAATACTTTGATTCAAAAAAGAGAACTTATAGAATTAAATCAAATATCAATTACAAAAAAAAACAAGATTTCTGGAGATTTTCGAATTTTCTTTTCATAAACATAAAAAATTAAATTGGTTCGTATTTTTAGCCATAAAATCTATTTCATCTTAATCATGGAAAAGTCATAAAAAAAGAAATTTTATTATGCATTTTTACCGTTCACGTTCTGATAACTTTGTTCCAAAGCCCTATGAAGCTTTAGCAGATATTTCTCTTTTGATTTTTTACTTTCTACAGTTTCAGTCTGAAGAAACCCTAAAGGTCTAAACAAATGTCAAGACAAATTGTACATATCCACATATATATATATTGCTGCATACTGCAAAGTATTTTATGCAGATTAGCCAGGGACCGAATTTAATAAATTTGAGATACATTGCTGAACTTCTATCGGTTCATATTTGAATCACGAATTCAAAGTTAAATGTTAAGGAAGGATTTGTATCAGTGATTCCAATGTGAACCGTTGTCAGTGTGCAGTTTAATAGGGGTCCATATAATTCCATTTCTGATCCCAAATGGGATTGGAAAATTCGGTGAAATTGTGAACTTGACATCATTACTTTCAATAGTTTCCAACCATGAGGATCAAATGGTATGGATACAATGAGTTAGTTTAATTTTGAGTGAGGTCTTGAGAAAAATTTAAAGCAGCACCATCTCTGTCGTACGTATGGCATTGTGAATTTGTTTATGCGTGATAACACCAAATGTGTACTATAGTATCAACAATGTATACTGCAAATTGAAACTAAGGAAACAAATTAATCAATACAAATAAAACAAAGGAAGGAAGTTGACTCAACAAACGAATGTGCAACAGTGCAAGTTTTACTGAATGGCATACATTCATTTTAATGCAATCAGAGGCTAAAAGAACAAAATTAAAGCCCCCACTAGACAAATTCATGAATACGCCCCTGCAAATGCAATTAACAAGAATATTATAAGTATATTTCTGTTTGTTTACTATATCTTTACTAAGTACAACTGATCACAGCATAAACAATATGCATACTGTATGTTTGTGTTACCTAGAAAATTAATTTTATTGGTCAAACAGGCTCAGAACGCAACACTTGAACTATACAGGATGCAATACCCGTACTGTATATTTATATATCAAAAATGCGTATTTTCCTACCGATGGTAGCAGGGGGAGAATGGAGAAGTTATCATTTTGCTATAGATGTCTCTTGTTTCAATTGTTTTCATAGGTAAAAATATGAGTTGTCTTCTACAAGCAATTTAGGCAGGAGGTTTCTACCTGCCAGCGTCTCTTTATTTACATTCTCTTTGATTTCAGCCCCTATTATCAATCAATTAACATTTGGGATCGTATCAGATCGTATAATATGGACCCCTATTTGAAATCGTTAAATGCGGTCCCTTGAGAATTCTTATTTTAGAAAAAAATTGTCTTGGTTTCCTAGTAATTGTTGGCGGAACTGGAGGTGGTATATATGTTGATGTCCTAGAAGAGGGCCGTAATCTTGAAGTTGGAGGAGACACATTTGATTTTTTTGCTGTATTTGTGCCTATAGCAATCGGAACACGACTCCTACGACAAAGTATGTGTTTATTTGTGTGGCTCAGCTACATTTTGTCCAGGTAACATTTTGCCTAGATAACGGCTTTCCTATAAGTAACATGTTGCCAAGGGTAACATAAGAAGAGCACATTTTTTGCCTAGTCATTTTTTCACAAAGAAAATTTTCAAAATTCTGCAATTTTTTATCAAAAACTCTTCAACTTTCCAAAATTCATTCAGTTTCCTACAAACCAGTTGGAAGGCAGAGCACAGAAAATTGCTCCAATCATAACTGCAGGGTTTACTATGCGGGGTAAGCCCAACTACATGGATCAGCATTGATACATAACCATGTTTTATCTTTTAGAGAAAAAATACACGCCAATTTTGCCGTAGAGGAGAATCAAAACTCTTCATCATTTTACAGGTTTTGAGTCATGGTATTTGGAATGTTAAAAGTGCTAGACAAGATACAATTTAATTCATTTTAATTTGACCATGGTTCAGCTTCAAAAATGTTTCACTTTTGACAAAATATGTTTTAAAAAAACTAAGCATAGGGTTACCAAGGCAAATGTTACCTAGAAAAAACTGAACTAAGCAAAATATAACTACTGACTAGGCAAAATGTAACTGAGCCGCTGGTAGCTTGCGGAAACTTGCTAGAAATGGTTTTTCATCTAGATCCTGTTTCGGCACAGGAAATTTAGTTTTCTCTTAATTCCATGAAGAAGGCAAATCATGCAGATAAACAGAGATATGAGTTGCTTGAACAAAATTTATATCAATACACATTGTTCTTGTTTAGCTGATTGTCTGGTGATATTGAATTGGACCTTAGATGCTACAATTTCATTCTATGTTAGTCCAATTTAGATTTTCTTTTATCCGATGTTCATCAACTGTTATTTCAAATTGTTGCATGCAATATCTTGCTAGAATTGAATTGAATAGTATAGCTTTAATTATAATTATTCATTTGCCTATTTCAAAATATCTTTTAGGTTGGATGCACATTTTTGAGGTCGAATGGTCATAATAAAGTTACGTCTGAGTAGATTTTATGTAAACGGTAAAAAACTGTTTTGTTTTTCTTCAAAAAATTGTATCATGTGTATATTAGCAACGTCTTTGTGTTGTATGATGTCTCAACATTAACATTTCTGCAAGATACAACAGTGAAGAGAAACAACTGTACTGTGTTTCTAAATGGTATTTTCTAAATTTGCTAAGTATGTACAACAAATATATTAATTAAAATAACAGGTAGGACATTAGATGTTATATTTTCAAGAACTATGTGTTTTAGTTCACAATAACCCTTGGGCAGGGCTCAGTAACATTTAGGGTTTCCATTCGTAATTACTTTACACGTAATTGTGCATAATTATGCGTAACACTTTCTTTCACTTACAGAGGAGCATTACACAAAATTATGTGCTAATTACGTATACAAAAGAAAGTCTAGTTTCACGTATCCAATCTGATTGGATAATTTAAATACTTTCAAATTGAATTAAAATTCGGTAATGGACCAAATAAAATGTTCCACATTTTATTAAAAATATATTCTGGTCTAGATTGACCCTTGTCAGTTCTAACGATATAAAAACCATCAAAACCAATGTTAAAAATCACAAAAAAAATAACTATGAAAATAGATTATCTAAAAAAAAAATTGAATGGGCTGTGAAATGGACAAAAGAGAAACGAACTCAGATCATGAGATGGAAAAAAGACAATTTGCAAATATTCACTTTTTAAAGAATGTTTTAAGAAAATTATTATTCCTTGAAATTGTTTCTGTCGAATAAAGTTAAAAAACAAACTATTTCATATGTATTGTGTTTAAAGTGTTGGTGGAGGTCAATCTAATAAACAATCTTTTACATAAATCAGGAGGGGGCAGCTTGTTTTAGGAGGGGTATTTCAACCTTTAAAAGAATTGGAAACAAAAATACTCTTTTTAAAAAAAAAATACTGAATTACAGTTTACAATTATATAAAAACCATTTTTTTCTGTTAATTCCTGTGAGATCAGTCATAAAATCTCTGATGTATTTTCGTACTTAAAGTAAAGTTCTCACTAGTTTCCAATCCTTCTCTAGTATAACGCTAACTTTTAGATGGTAGAGTTCATGTCCAGGAAGGTTAAAATGTTCTCCTGTAGGCTGGTTTGTATGGAGGTTTTGCTAACTAGGCGTAATCATTGCAACATTTTGGGAAATTACTTTTGTGGAAATTACGCGAAATTACAGTGTTATTTCCTGAAATCAAAGTTTCACTAAATGCATGTAATTATTACAAAATTTGGCAAAAAACTTTGTAGAATTTACGCCATAATTTTGCAAAATTGAAGTTTCGCCAATTACGCAAAATTTCAAGAAATGAAAACTATTTCGCGTAACTGCACATAATTTCCCATAAGTGAATTATCTATTATGAATTATTATGAATTATGGAAACACTAGTAACATTATGAGTAGTACAAGTTCCCCTTGTACACTTTCACCTAGTACACACTTGCCTACTAAGGTTTTGCCTGGACAACATTTTGCCTTGATAATATTTTGCCTAGACCCAGTTTGCCAAGATAACATTTGGCCTAGGTAACATTAGAAGGTAATTTTCACCTAGATAAATTCATTTACATTTGGCCTAGATAACATCTTGCCTAGATTATTTTACAGGGTAATTTTCATCTAGATAAGTTCGCTAATTTCTAAACCTAAAATGTATTATAATAATGATTACAAATTTATTCTTATAGGGGATTAGCTCGCTGGAGATCATGGGCCAGTATTTTCAGATAATCAGTTTTAGGCATTGTAGCAAAAGCTTCTACCACCAGTTTAACCCTCTGTTTTGCATCCTTGGCTCTCTGCTTTCTGCCTAGGGTTTCCAACGCAAGTGGATTTTACTTCAGTGCAATTGCTAGTCCTTGCGCGCAAGTGAATTTAATTGCACGAAATTCCGTAATAATTGCACGAAATAAACGCAACAGAATTGAAAGCTATGGAGCGCAATTCCATCCTACTTTTCTTTATTTGTGTTTCAATTTTTAGATAATATTCTATTAAAACCTTTTGGCACATAATGCATGCAATTAATTACTGCGCAATTCCTTTCAACAACAAAAAAATTCAATTTAAACTTTGATAGTAACATACAATAAACTGAACTTCACTAACTTAACTAACCTAATCTTTTTGTTTTATAATATTCATTTGCAGCATTGATAACCAGAAAACTCTGACTTAAGAAGACAACATTTTAGACTCAAGCAGATCCATGTAACTGAATAAGTGATTTTATAAGTTGCTAATTATTTTTTTTGCTTGTAACAACATCAAATACACTTTTTGTACCATAGTTTTTCAATATAAACAAATGAAAAATGTATCATAGTAAATTGTTTATTAGAAGCCTTTGTTTAACTTTTAAAACTTTTAAATTTGAAAACTGTTGAAACATGTGAAACTCAGGCTTTGATTATTTTAAAATCTACAGAGATATTTTCATCCTTGTATCTGCTGCATATATATTTGTAAGTCACAGCTAAAATTATTTATTTTAAAATGGAAAAGCAATTCTCCACAATTATGTGCAAAATTGCCATTATTTAATTGCTTCCTTGTTCGCAATTATTGTTCAATTGCCCTCATTAAAATGGAGCAAGTGGAAGCAACAATTGGGTGCAATTCTCTGCAACAGAATTCCAATTGGAAACCCTATTTCTGTCTGCATTATCAGCCATATCCTGGCCAACTGAATAAGAAAGAAAGGATCGTTTTGCATCAGCATCTTGTTTGACAATTTGGTCCTGAATGTGCGAAACATTTGGACTTTACCCAGACAATAAATTCCAGGTACAACTAAAGAATTCCAGCATATTGTTTATTTCCATTACATCCTTTAGAACTGTGTTTTACTGGTTCCAAAAAGAGGGCAGAAACAATTCTCTCCTCCCACCCCGTTTTTCAATCCAAGTCTGTGAAAAGTAGTAACCAAAACGATCAATCTCCTGATCATAATCCTCCCATTCTTGATCATAATAGCTTTTTACTTGACCTCCAAAGGTACATAGTAGAGTGTATACATAAGATAGATTAGTTCTTGAATGCTGGAGATGATGATCTCCCAGGTTCTTCCAAACTGCAACGTTGTGATAAAATCTTCACGGTTGGAAACAATTTAGCACATATATTGAAAACAGCCTGCTCAAAATCTGAGATGATTGTTTTAGGACAGTTTTGCTCCACAATATGCTCATTAATCTTGTTGAAGAATATATCATAGGTTTCTTTTTTCTTTGATAGAAAGGAGACCAAAGACACAAGCCTTTCCTCCTATCTCAGATGCGGCCATACCAATGTATACCTAAGAATTATACTCTATTTATGTGTATAAGTGTGAAAAAAAAAACAATATTTAGATCCAAAAGTATACCTGAGAAAAAGGTACTGGGGCAGACTTAAAGGTCCCATCAAATAGCCAAGTCTTGTGCATTCTAAGGGTTTTAACTGCCCATCTGCTCATAAATATTGCCATAGGTTGTGTAAATTCAACATCAATCCAATCTTTGAAAATCAGAAATTTGCCCCCATTGGCTGGCTTGGTAAACTTGTTAGGAATATCAGTGTCCATGTACTTCTCAAATGTAGATGGGAGCTTATGTCTTGGACTGATAACTTGTCTCTGGTGCCACAACTTCATCCTGTTGAAAGTTTAATGAAAGTATGTTATAGCTAATTTCCTGAAGAACTGTGGATGGAGTAACTCCCTGAAACCCTGCATACTTAGAAAATACAGCTGATTCAGTTTACTTAGCAGTCTTATTCATGAGCTGATTTCTATGTTGGTGAATTGGTAGTGTAAAGCCGACCAGGTTTCCAGTTGATTTCCTTATTCCTAAGGTGGCATAACATTTCCTGTTTGAACAGTACCAATTATAAACTTTTTGACTACCAGGTCCATTGGATACATATGAGAAATGTTAATTATTAATTTTGGTTGGTCTGCCTCGTTTG